TCTAAATACAATACAAATTAAACCAAGATTTAGAATAATCATCATTTTGATCCATATCTCTGACTGGGCCTCGTGTCACTTTATGTTCAGTAAATTGGGCCCCGAGGTCAAAAAGGTTAAGAAGCCCTGGTTTAGATGGTTCGAGGCGGAGTCCAGATAGGATGAGATGAGATGAGATGAGATGAGATGAGATGAGATGAGATGAGATGAGATGAGGTGAGATAGAACTTTATTGATCCCACAGTGGGGAAATTTGAACACTACAGCAGCTCAAACCAGTGGAGTTGCAGTAACAGGCAGCCTGCCGTGGCGCCAACTTAGAAACAAAGAAAAACTGAAGAAACACAACCATGATGGTTTTTTCTTACCCTGTCAGTCAAAATGACGGACAGCAAAAAAAAATCTATCGCAACCTCTGTATGTATGCTATATGTTAGCATGTGTGAAATATTCTGACACTATGCAACTCGAAATTACAAAATCATTATCTGATACATTATTGTTTTATACAATGTTTATATTTGATCTTYCTGCATACTGAGTTGCACTTCTGGAACAGGAGCGATGTACTGAAGGTAAAGGCAAACTCAAGTGTTAAGCTCACCCAAGAGCAGACTGGCATAAGTCGGGAGTTTTCCCGGTGGGCCGACGGGCTGCTACACTCGGCCCTGTGGCCACGCAGCATGCTCTAGTTTTGCRGGTGTCACAACGCTTCTATAATGTGCCTCCAGTCAGTTGATCTGCTCAGAGTGKGGCCGACCTGCCGCAGAGTGGACTTCTACCCGCGAGTGCTACTGTTCTTCTAAATGAACTCAGCAGGCACTAATTTGAAAAGTYTTGTCCCTGCTAGAGCCGCATAAATTATATCTCCATGTTTGTCTCTCAGAGATGCCCAGTGGTGTGGCTCCAGCTCGTCATTTCACCGTGGAACATCACCAGGGGCGCCACAAGTGGGGGTGGACACGGGGGGCTGTGCCCCACCAGTTTTAACCTCTTGAGTCCATAGCTTCTGCTTTGTGCTTATAGAACCTTATAAACATAAAAATGTTTTTGAAAAACTAAAAGTAAAAAATATAAATATATATTTTACTTAAAATAAAAAAAAACTTAAAATAGTTTCTCTGAATAAAGACAAATAGTATAAAATAAATATCCTCAATGTCAGGATGAAGCTTTTCATGAGGTTAGAGGCATTACACACATTAATACTTTTTTACACAGTATATAAATGAACTAATATACACTGGACTTCTATTTTGAAACTGTAGACGTTTCTCC